CTTGAACCTATTATTTATTGAGCACTGTGCAGAGCTCTTATACACCAGAGTGTTCTGAAACAACAATAAAAAATAAGCATCAAAAGAACAACCAAACAACAACAAAAACCAACCATCTTTCTGTGAAAAAAAAAAAAAGTATCATAAAGAAAAAATGAAAGTTACACTACTATGGCTTTCAATACATTATCACTTTCATTTCCATTTGATGAGATTAATAGGAAAACTGTTGTACAACATAGTATGAGTAACATCTCACAGGCATTGTGCTGAGCTTTATTTCAAGCTTTCAAAGAAGAGGTCAAAGCTTTAGTTTACATCTATTTGACTACTCAGATTATAGGCAATTGTTGGGTTTACTGACTACTTGCAAAAACATTTAATGTAAAATAGCCCACTAGGAGGATAGAGGGTTATCTATAAGGACAGTGTGTTGACATCTTTAAAAAAAAAAAAATATATATATATATATATATATATATATATATGAATCTAGCTACTATAATGTTGGTATAGGTTGAATAATTTGCATCTATATTAACAACTATTTATTTTTGGACAAACTTTAAAGTTTCACAGGCAAAATGAGACCACAATTTCAATTTTGAACAGATAGTATAAATCTCTCTTCTCTAAATTTTAAACCTTTCCTTTGCTTTTAGGAAACATAACTGCATAATTCAAACTCCTTCAATACTGTGACCTAGTTCCCCCTCTTGATGTTATAAACGGCTCATGTAACTATGGTAACCATCTAGGGAAAATTGAATGTTTTCTGGTCAGCATTATGCAAAGTATACCATATGTGTTATTTTTTCCATGATAACCAAGGAGATAATATGCTTGGTTTTTCCCTGGCTATGTAAGTACGATATTTTATTATACTGAATTTACTCCTTGCAACAGTCCTAGTCACTCACAGTTCCTTCATTAAATGTTTGAGGATCATCTCTTGCTGCTAGTAGTTACTCTAAATGCTGAACAGTGCATAACATAAAATAGTAGGATAAATTATATACACCAATTTAAAACCTGTGCTATCACATAAAGTACACATATAGGCTGACACTGCTTAGATTTCTAATATTACACTAGAAAATCTGATATTTTCTATATTTTAATCTTTAGTCATAGCCAAAGTGATTCCCTAAAGCAAAAAACTGCTACATGGAATTACATCTTATAGGTATATTAGATATTTAAAAAGTTATCTGGAGTTTTGGTAATTTTTATTTATCTTCTTTAAATGTCTATTTTAATTAACTAGTGTGTATTACCTGTAGTTATGTAATAATGCGATTAAAATGCTTTAAAACTGAACTCAGTAGAGATATATACTATTAATTAGTATTTTTTTTTAGTTGCTTTCTGTACAATGAATTGATTTAAAGTTTTCAGTCTTTTTCAGGATAATTTAAAATGCTTTACTAAACTTCTAGAAAAAAATTACACTTCAAACAGAAATTACTAGATTATTAAGTATTTACTCATATAGGTACAGTTAAATATCTATAGTGGGGTATCAATTGTGACCTTTCGAGGATTTCATTTAAAGTGATTTTTTTCATCTTCCCATATTCATAAGTGCCTTTCAACTACCCATATAGCTTCCTTAGAAAAAACATTGCTATCTGCTTCACTGGATTAAACAGGGAATTAATTGCCTCTTCCTGGTTTAGAAAAGGCCTTACTAACCAAATGAATGTGTTGGACTTGTCCAGGCTGTGTTAAACAATAGGGAAATCTGACAATTTGAATTGTTCTGGATATTAAATGATAGTAAGAAAATTATGAGAGTAGGATAAAGGCATCATATGTTTAAAAAATTATTGTATTTTATTCTGCTTACATTTAAAGTATTTACAGGTAAAATTATAATAACTACTTATAGTACAGAATTACTTAGTACAGAAGGGTTAAGGAAAGTGAAGGGTTATAGATTAAATAATATAGCCATATGTAGAAATGTTAATGCTAGGTGAATGGTATATAATACTTTTTTGTTTGAAAATTTCTATCATGAAAAGTTTCTAAAAAACATTGAACAGTAGAAGAAAGAAAAGGATTTCAAATTTAATTGGCCCAACTTGCAGAAACTGAATTTTCTCAGGAGGTATTCTTAGGAATGTTTCAGAACTACTTACTAGTTTTTTAATGGGTTTGAAGTTGTTGCTCTTCCTTTCATATCATATAAATGAGAGATACAAGGGATAGATTTGGGACCTCTTCAAGTAATTGATTTAGAAATTAAAGGTAATCCCAGACTATTTGGGGATACCAGATTATCTCAGGTTTGCTTTAAGAGTAGAAAATATATTGAAGAACAAATAAAATGCCTTTTGTTTAGTCACAGGATGAAATATCATCAAATGTTGCAGAGAATTGGGGATTTCTAAATTTTTTATTTATCAGTAAGCCCTATATGAAAAGGCCCCCAATTTCCAATAAAGTGATTACTAAGAAAAGGACACTGATAAATAACCAAGATAGAGTTTAGGAATATAGCTGAGTGTTTCCCCAACTATGTGGGTGCTCCTCTCAGAGGCTGCTTTAATAAGCATTTATATATATTTATATTCATATAATATAAATAAATGAAAGCATGGCAAGAATAAGCCTTATATTAGCCTTTATAAATATCTCAATAGAAGTATGTCCAAAATAATTCATTCACACATGTATTATCACATCGTACTGTTTTATAGATTTACACTAGTGCCAGTTGAAATGCCATTGTTTGGATTTTCTTTTCTTTGCTTCTTTCAGACTGTTCAACAGGATTATGAAAAATGAAAATAATGCTATAAAAGTTCTCCTATCCCATACTGATCCTTGCTTTGTTTTGTCTTGCATTATGTTCCTGGAAGGAGTACTCTACAGATATTCTGCATCACTGCTTTTTCTCATTTATAGTTTCTAAGTGTCATATCTGCCTACAGATCATTTCAAGTAGAGTAAAATTAATAGGGGATTCAGTGTCTAAACTCAATCAACAAATAACAAGGCATCTTTCATTATTCTACTTCTTCAATAAAGACTAGCTAATTCAAATTTGTGAGGGGGGGGAAGCAGTAGGTTTACATAAAAATCAATAATATTTAGTTCTTAACAATGACTTTTTTTTTTTTTTTTTTGACAAGACTAAACTGCTTAATCTAAGGATTTAAAGAATGACAACAAAACCATCCCCAAATGGTTCTCAGAATTCTCGGCTCCCTGGCTTAATTCAAGTGGTCAGAACCTCTTAGTGTCGGGGGAATCTTAGATGATCTCCCAGTCCTCTGCAATACTGCTGTAGTTCAAGAAGACATCGATTTCCCTGGAGTGCTTTATTTTAGCCTGAAATTTAAAAAATTTCCTCTAGGTCAAGGTCTAGATTTCGCTGCACATCAACGGATACTCTGCGGGTGCACCACCACTGCAAACTAATCATATAAAAAATGCAAACTTATCACCCCTCACCACGCATATTTTCTTTTTAATTCCAAGATACTGATCACAATACGGTTTGTTTACATAAGCGTGCCATTAAAATTCTCTTTGTATGCGTTCTATTTAAACTCCTTTTTTTTTTTTTTTCAAAAATACACATTGAATGTACTTAAAGTCCGTCCGTAATTGATATCAGCCTGGCGTTTCATTTACACTTCACAGAAATTAAGCCCTGATAGTCGCTCACACAGATAAGAAAGGCCACGGTCTGATTACAGATGAGATATTTATTTTCTTCTCCCTTACCCGCGAACCCCTCCAATCGTTAGTCCCAGGGTAAAAATGAGTAAAAAGGCTGGGAAGGGTGGTGGTGCCCCCCGCTCCCTCAGCCAGTGAGCCCTCACCGAGGTTTAATGCTTAAACGTTCCAACCCCTTAAGAGTTTTTAAAAAGGGTACTGTTGGACAAACACGTGTGCAAAACAGACGCAGTCCTGCACCCCTTCTTCACATACAGGAGACTCTCGAGAAGGGGACAAGTGGACAAACCCTGTAAGCCACCGCGGAGCCGGGAAAGGGCGGAAACACGCCAAGGCCCGCAGCGAACTTGAAAGCCGGGCGTTTAAAAGATAAAGAAAACACAGAGGGCCGAAGGGAGCGCCGCCTACCTCCCCGAGCAGGCCCCCCGGTGCTCGGCGAGCCCGAAGGCGGCGGCGGGAGGAGGGACTGAGCCCCGCGGAGCGCTGAGACGCCAGCCGCGAGCTGTGGCTCGGCGGGAACTCGCCGCCGCGCATGTCGGGAGCTGCGCCCCGCTGCAGGCTGGGTCCAGTAGTTCCCGCAAGCCTCACTCCGGGTTGTAGCGAAAAGTAGCCGCCTGCTGCTCCTTTTAAGGTTCGCAAGGGGCCGCGCTTGATCCGCCTAATGGGAAAAAAAAAAATCGGTAATACCGGGCCAAGTGAGCTAGCCCAAGGTTCCGCCTCCGCGTGGGAAGGGCAGAAACTAGAAGCTGGCCACCTGCCCTCTCAGGTCCCATTCAGACATGGGGTGAAGAGGCAGGCCCAGCCGTGCTTCCCCTTTAAGGGGGGCGGGGCGCAGCCTGCCGTTTGGCCACCCTCCGCACCCTCTCCCCCAGCCGAGAGATGACAGACCAATCGCTCGGGTGGCGGAGGGAAGGCGGGAGAATGCGAACCCTTCGGTAGGGCGGTAGGGGCGGGCCCCTAGCCTTATTAGGAGTGAGTCCTGCGCAGGCGCAGACGCGACCGCAGGCGGAGGGGCGGGGGCAGTCCAGTGAGAGACTCTCCGACAGGCACGGAGGGTGATTGGGAGTAGAGCGGGCAGCGAGGGACTTGTCATGGGGATCCGAGCTACTAGACGGCATTGGTAGCATCTGGGGACTCGGAAAGGGGCAGGAAGTGTCAACTCCCGGGACCCCGACGCCAGCTCGGCTGGGGGTATCCCCGCTGCTCTAGACCTGAGAAGGGAGGGGGGAAGGAGGGAGCCCTGATCTCGCCCCGCCCCTGGGCTTGTTACCGCGGGGGCGGGGAGTGAGGGCTTCTTTGGGGGGGAGTGGAGATCGGGGGATTCGGCTGTGCCCTCTCGAGCGGCTGCCAGCGTCCCTGCGGCGCCGGGCTGCGGAGCGAAGGAGCCGCGGCGGCCGTGGCTGTTGCATGTGTGGCTGCTGGATGCGGAGGCGGCGGCGGCGGCGGCGGCGAGGAGCAGCAGCAGCGGCGGCAGGATGTTAGGGCAGCAGCAGCAGCAACTGTACTCGTCGGCCGCGCTCCTGACCGGGGAGCGGAGCCGGCTCCTCACCTGCTACGTGCAGGACTACCTTGAGTGTGTAGAGTCACTGCCCCACGACATGCAGAGGAACGTGTCTGTGCTGCGAGAGCTGGACAACAAATATCAAGGTAGGGGGCCGCGGGGCTGCCTGCGCGGGTCCTCCCCCACCCGGATCCGCTGGCCTCTGGCACGGTGGCCTGGAGTCTGCCTTGGGAAGTGCCACTTTCTCTACCGTGACAGTTCTCCCGAGTGCACAGAGGGGTTCTGCTGTGTGGGACGGGGAGAAGGGACTGGAGACGGGGTTCGCGGCCCTCCCTTTTCCCGCTGCGGTCGGCGAGGACTTCTGTGGGGTCTCGGGTGGGGGTGGGGGCCGCTCGTCAGACCCGCTGCAGACCCAGCGGCTGCAGCTGCTGTGGAGGGGAATCAGCCATTTTAATCAAGCATTTGTTCCGGCGCTCACCGGCCCGGTGCCGCACACCCTCCCACTCCGGCGACTGAGGGGCCGCCGGGCGGGGACTGAGCAGTGAGCGCCGGGCCCTGGCCGGGCTCCGGCTGATTAGCGGGGCCTGGCTTTTCCCTACCCCTACGGCCCCCCACCCCCTGAGAGCAGATGCATTGGAACGTGCTGGGGGGAGGGGGCGAGAGAGGGCGGCGAAGGCGTACTCGGAGAGGTCCCTCCCTCCCGGCTCCAGCTCGCGGCTGGGCTCTGGAGTGGAGCACTCAGTTCCCCGCTCCCGCCCGGGGGGAAGTTCCGGGCTGTCCGAGGCCGCAGTCTTTTCCCAGCTCTTTCTGACAAATGGTTAAAGAGGAGGGGTCCCCCGCAGGGAAAGGTGGAGAGGGGTGTGTGTGTGGCGGGGAGGGCCCCCGATGTCTGTGGGCGGGGCCTGTGGGCATGACGTAGGACCTGGGAGGGGCGCGAACGCGCGCGCTCCCGCTGGCCTCGAACATGGCTGGTGGCTAGAGGGGCGGACGATGCTGACTGCTTAGAAGAGATCCGGGCCATGAGAGGCATTAGTTGGGCCCTAACAGTTAGTCAGCGGGGCTGGCGATGTGTTTGTTATGATGTTTCGTTTTTCTTTTTCCCACCCAATGAATCGACGGGGACGCTGCTACTGGGACCATCGCTGACCCTGGCTTCGCGTAGGTTCCGGGCCAGGTGTCACTTCCGGGCCCCTGAAGGAAGTGGGTTGGTTGGCTGGGCAACCGCTTTGGCGTCTCTTCACTTCTGGGTTCCTCCTCTGCCAAATTTTGAGTGATGAGGCAAAAACCATCGTTTATAGTCGAAAAAGTTAGTACAGGGAATTAACCTTTCTTACAGATAGTGTCTATCAGCAGCCCTTCGCCTGCAACTAGCGGGGAGACGTTTAAGTGGTAGATGTTTTGCATTAGTAACCTTGAATCAAGGAGTATTCAGACTTAATGTGGAAATAGCCAGACGATGGACCTTAAAGATAACTTCGTGGACCCATTCTGTTTTTCTAGACACTTCACTAATCCTGTGACTTAAGGAATCCACCTCTGTGGTGACAGGTTTTTTTTTGTTGTTGTTGTTTTGTTTTTGGTCTATAGCATGTTGGAGCATTTAAGTGTCTCAGTATGTAAATTTATCTTCTGAATTCGTGCGATTGTTGGAGGAATACTGATTGCTTATAGTATGGCTGTTGCTGCACTAGGCCTAGAACTTATGAAGTAAAACTCATTTTACAGATAAATTAAAATTTACAAAGTGACCAGATCGAGGTTATTTTTTTCCAAAGCTGGCTATAGCCCATCCTTCTTTTTGGACTTAAACTTTTTTTTTTTTTTTTTTTAATCAAAGCGGTCCAATACTATTTTCTACAGTTATGGAGGCTAAGCGTGAATGGTAACCTAGAAAGACGACATGTGTTTGCGAGTTTACTGGGTGCGGTGGTGCACACCTATAATCTCAGCCACTTGGGAGGCTGAGGGAGGAGGATTGCAAGTTCAAGACTAGCCTCAGCAACTTAGTGAGGTCCTAAGCAACTTAGACACTATCTCAACATAAGAAAATTTTAAAAGGCTAGGGATGTAGCTCAGTGGTTAAAGTGTCTCTGGGTTCAATCCCCAGTATCAAAAAATTAAAAATAAATTGTATTTCTTTTTAAAATTTTTCTTAAAAATAAAATGGGTTAGGATGGGGTACCCTTGGGCTCAATCCCCAATACATCCCCCCCCCCAAAAAAAACCCCTCAAATTGAACATTTTTAGTTTTTTGGATAGTAGCACTGATATTTGTAAAGCTTGCACGTTTTTACATTTCTTTAAGCACATGTTTACCCTTCACAAAAGTTATGCTATTTTCAGTTGGGGAGGGACACTATTTAAATTTGTTGACAGGGAGCTCTGCTTATCTGATCATGTATGATTGTCATAAGTTGCTCTTATGAGTAATATAGTAGGGCTTACAAATTGGGAGATAAAAATCTGAGGATTTTTAATAAGATTGTGATGAATTTCAAGATTAATTTAAAAAGAGTGATACAGTTTTTACTCTATGCACATGGTTGCTCAACTTTCAAAGTTTTGTTTATATACTTTGGCAAATGTTATTGGTTCAGGTTTGATTTTTTTTAAATTTTTGACTAGTTCTTAAGTATTTTCTAGTTTAGAATATAATACAGCAATTTTTAGTTATGTAAATTATAGGCAACTTATAGAATTTCTCCACCACCTATTTGAGACACTGTCAAAAATTACCAAAGGCCCCATCAAATCGAGAAATAAGAAAACATTTTCACAATTGAATGAAGTATTTATTATGGGATTTGATTATTAGAGAACCTTTATTATTGTTCTAGTAGTCTCATTTATAATTTCTTAGGTAAATAATAACCTTTTAACTAAAATTTAATATTTAATTTCAAGTGCCTTTTGTACAGCCTGTACAAAGTGTTTAAATTATTGGGTCACACAGATCTAGCAAAGTTCAAAGTCTGGGGTTCTTTCCTCTTGAATTTTATTTATCACATGTAGAAGTGATGGCCTCCTTGTGGGTTTGTTGTGGAGATTAAATAAGAAAATATTTACCACACAAAAGAAGCTAAGTCAGTGTTAATTTCCTTTCTTGTCTAAGTAAGAGGTCTTTAAAATGTGAATTTTTATCTCATGTACAATATCATTGTGCAAGTATGATATGTAATTAGCTCCTAATTATTAGATACAGACATTTGAAATGAGGCAATGAGGCTTACCTTTTTTTAAAAAAAATTGTTTTATTGTAGTTGGACAAAATACCTTTATTTTATTTTTATGTGGTGCTGAGGATCGAACCCAGTGCCCCGCATGTGCTAGGCAAGTGCTGTACCGCTGAGCCACAACCCCAGCCCCAGGCTTACCTTTTTTTCTTTTTTTTTTTGTCAGGAAAATAATTTTCTTATTTTTCCTGTAGGGAAATTGCATTCTTAGGAAATTCACTTGCATGCCTAACTGAGCAAATGGAATAGTTATGAACTGTTTTGAAAAATATGGTATACAGGAATGAGTACCCTCAACTCTAGTGACACTTTGTTACGTGTCCTGGGTTAAACATTGTCCATCAAGTATTACTAGCTGAAGTTTTCAGGGAGGAGCTAATTTATAAGATTTTTGTTTAATATTTGTTTTGTGTAATCTTACTTATAGACAGTTCCAGTGTGTTTATTTTATTTACTATTTCTGTTCTTTAGATTAATATTGGAATATAAAACAATGGTAGGTATGTAGTGATAATAATAATTGGATTATAAAATAGTGGTATGTCATGTGGTATGATAAATTAATGTTTATTTCTCCACTTCTGCTAGGATAGAACTGTTTCTGATAGCAGTTATATCTGGTTAATATTGTTACAATAAGAAATTGGACAGATTTGAATAAATGTTTCAATAAGAAATTGAACAGATTTGAATACAACTAGTCTAAGTAAATTTTTGGTGACCTCTGAAACTATACAGGTTTTTGCATACCTTCTAGTGACTCAGCCATTTTATTTGATTTAAATAAGTGTCCCACTTGCTATGCAACTAAATCAGCAGTTCTAAAAGCTTAGAACCAACTGCTGAGTTATCTACAAAGGCAGAGTGATCTAGTGCTGACTTACTGTAATTTTGTTGTGGCTTGGTCAGTTGATGCCAGAAACAGTGGACCTTCTCTGGAATAGTTTTGATTTGTAGAATTTTTTATGTGATGCTATAATTAAAAAGCCATTAAAACAAAGAGATGGAAGTCTAAAAATTTCCGATGTCTTCTCTGTTTAATAATATCCAAGGATATGATATGAAAAGGAAGGTACCCTGTCTTTCTGGAGTCATGTAGCAAGTCATTGATTGAATTATAAATCCTGTAAATTCAGTTGAGTTGTAATCTGTAACCTACTTCTGGAATTTCAGGTTTTATGGCTAGATCTAGTAAATTTTTATATAGGGTTGTGTTCTGAAGTTCAAATGAAGTGTAGGCAATAAGGTACTATGTAGATTCTAATGTCATACAGTACTCCTATCTATTTAAAACATTTTTGATTACTAGAGACACATCTCTTATCCTTTTAGATGTAGATTAATAACATTAAATTCTTATGTTCTGATTTGATTTCTTCTAAGTATACTTTCATATTGGATAACAAGGTCTTGTATGGGGAATAATGTTTTTTAATGTGTACATACTATAGAGGAGTGGGATTTCATGCCTTAAGTTCTAATTTTCAAGTATTATATGTTAATATTCACTAATGTTCTCCTTTTTCTTTTCCCTTTTTAGAAACATTAAAGGAAATTGATGATGTCTATGAAAAATATAAGAAAGAAGATGATTCAAACCAGAAAAAACGCCTACAGCAGCATCTCCAGAGAGCATTAATCAATAGTCAAGAATTAGGAGATGAAAAAATTCAGATTGTCACACAAATGCTCGAATTGGTGGAAAATCGAGCAAGACAAATGGAGTTACATTCACAGTGTCTTCAAGATCCTGCTGAAAATGAACGAGCATCAGATAAAGCAAAAATGGATTCTAGCCAGCCAGAAAGATCTTCAAGAAGACCCCGCAGGCAGAGAACCAGTGAAAGCCGTGATTTATGTCACATGACAAATGGGATTGAAGACTGTGATGATCAGCCACCTAAAGAAAAGAAATCGAAGTCAGCCAAGAAAAAGAAACGCTCAAAGGCCAAGCAGGAAAGGGAAGCCTCACCTGTTGAGTTTGCAATAGATCCCAATGAACCTACATACTGTTTGTGTAACCAAGTGTCTTATGGGGAAATGATAGGATGTGACAATGAACAGTGTCCAATTGAATGGTTTCACTTTTCATGTGTTTCACTTACCTATAAACCAAAGGGGAAATGGTATTGCCCAAAGTGCAGGGGAGATAATGAGAAAACAATGGACAAAAGTACTGAAAAGACAAAAAAGGAGAGAAGATCGAGGTAGTAAAGGCCATCCATATTTTAAAGGGTTATTTGTCTTTTATATAATTCGTTTACTTTCAGAAAATGTTTTAGGGTAAATGCATAAGACTATGCAATAATTTTTAATCATTAGTATTAATGCTGTATTAAAAGTTGTTGTACTTTGTCTGTGACCTTAATTTTCTGCACTAAATTACCAAATATTTTAAACCAGGTAGTCTTCAGATCACCTGATAAAAGGAGCAGGGAACAGGGAGAGAGTGGTGTGAGCATTATAAAAAATTCACAAACCATGACTATTTCATTTTCACTTAAAACTCCAATGCTACTTTTTTGGGTAAACACAAAAGATTTGCTAGCATTTTAGTTCCATGTGCTCAAAGATTTTTTAGTTATAGTTGGATTTATCTGTAAGCATCAAATTATCTTGGGTAATTTAGAATATGAACACTATCCCATTGAGAGCTTCTTTTTCAGCCCCATTTGTTCATACACTTATTAATCTCTAGTCTTCCAGAAATTTAAGGAACTAGAGATGAGAGTATTTTGGGATTCCATGTGGAATAATGTGCTCTTATTAGAGTATTTGCTGCTGTATTTTCCTTAGTAGCATTTTGATACACTGTCAGTAGCCCATTTGTAAATGCCTTGCTGCTTCTTCAAAATAGATACATTTAACCTAGTGTTTAATAAGGAAGTTGTTTAATGTTTTGTTTGTTTTTATTGGGAAAGGTAAGAGTAGTCAGGGTACCAAAAATGCTGCTGTCGGCTCATATTGGCAAAATTTGGGTTAATGTAGTATCATGGTTCAAGGTTGAACAATTTAAAAAATGCATTATAATATTTTCTATGTTACCCACTACTGGAATGCTTAGCCACAGGCCTATCTGGGAAAAGGGCATATATACCAGTCTTTAAATATTGCCGTTCTGTCAAACAGTTGTTTTAAATAGTTTTGCTAGGGGCTATAGTTCATTTCTGTCCCAGTTAGTGATTATACATTATTTTAAATAATAGTGTATTTACCTTCTTAATTTTCTGGTATTGGTGCTGTTTGATGTTTTCATGTTTAATGAACTAATTTCATTATAACAATGCAATTAATAATGTATTTGTAAATTGAATTTTCCAAGATTCTAGTATTTTAAGAGTAAGCATCTTGATGGATATATGTCCATGTGTTTGGAGCAATTTTTGGTTGGGGGGGACAGGAAATTGATTAGTCCTTTAAATCTGTGTAACATACTTTTTATTCCTCATTTCTTCCCAATCTGATGATCTTGATTCTTTTTGATTAACATGTGAAAAATCCTGTCTGCTTGTTTGGAAAAAAAATTGATTTTTTTTCTCTTCTAGTTCTCCTGTGTGACTTTTAGGCATGCCATTTCACCTCATCTGAATGTCAGATCATTCACTTATAAAATGAGTTAGTTTAAATATCTCCAAGGTTCTTTTGAAATCTATAGTGTTTGCACAGTATTGAAGGATTTAAATAATGAAATGAGTTATTTTTCTCTTTCATTAATGTTCTCCATTCTTAGTTATGAACAAGAGTTTAAAGGTGAGCTTAGAAATATGCAAATGCAAAATATTTGATTAGGTTCTATACTAAGGGTATTTTAATTGATGACTAGAACCAGTTGATTATCTTACTTCCTAAGCAAGAAATATTAGACAGTATGATTAAGAATTTCTTTTATTGTAACTTTGTCAAGTTGTAAACAAACCCTTTACTGTCTTGAGAATACAGCATTTTTATGGCCTCATTACCAGAATGGAACTATTTAAATTAAATACCAGTATGAGAAAATCTCCCCAAAGCCTTCAGATGTAACTTATATAGAAGTCACCACTTTTAGGACTAGGGATATACCTCAGCAGTAGAGTGCTTGTCTAGCATTCATGAAGCCCTGGGTTCAATTCCCAGTTCCACACCAAAAAAAAAATCGCTATTTTTTTCATACATTAATTTGCCTCAGCATATAAGCAGAATCAGACAAACAAAACAAAACAAAAAAATCCTTCCTAATAAAAATGCCCAAGTTTGGATTAGACTTTTAATAGGAAAACAAGCCTGAAAAATCCTGGAAGGTGTGATCTCTTTTAAGATCTAATATTTGAAACAGTGTTCATGAATTTCATTTTGTTTTCTATACCACATGGGAAGTAGAAGACTTAAGGTTGCTTAACATATTTGGGATTTCTTTTGTTAAGTAGTCTAGAATTCATAGTGACTTTACAACCAGTGGTGCCCAAACTTACCTCACATGAAATTACCTCAGGAGCTTCAAAAATACTAATCCCTGTGTTCCAACCCCAGCAATTGTGATCTAAATTGGTGGGGTTGCATTTGGAATGTGGTTTAAGCATTAGAATTTTTGAAAGATTACCATTCTAATTACAGAAAAGTTTTGGAACCAATGCCCCTTTTTGAAAATTTCAGCCTATTGATGAAAACTGATGATGAATTCTCAACATCCAGATTTATGCAACTCTTGAAGAGTTTATCCCCTGCTCCCAACAGTTCCACCACCAGTACCTAAATACTCAGTATTTGAGTGCTTCTTTATGTGTACCAGGAGTTCTTTATTACACAGTTGTGATATAAAAAGAAAAAGCCCTTGCTCATGGATGATACATTCTAGTGCAAGAGTCAGATGTAGTTAATGTCAGGAACTGTTTTTAAAGTGTTAAAGTAAATCAGAGTAAAAGGAAAGGGGGTGGTGAGTATTAATTGTGGTGATTAAAGGTTTCTAAGGAAGTAACCAGAGCTGAGAATAGAAATAAGGAAGGGAGGCAGAAAGGGAGGAGCAAAGCAATCTTGTTGATTTGATTAAAGCAGAGCAATAGAGCAGTGTGAAAGGGGCTAGAAAATGTAGGACAAGCCTGGGTCTGATTTATACTTTAAGATCACTGGATACTGTGTACAGAATTTGTTGTAGGTGGCATATAGGGAAATTGAGGAGACTCAAGTCTTTGCACCAAAAATGTTAGTGGCTAACCAGGGTGGTAGCCGTGGAAATGGTGCTAGTGGTAGGTGCCAGTCTGTGTTTTATTTTATTTGGTTTTTTTGTTTTGTTTTATGTGGTGCTGAGAATCAAACCCAGTGCCTCATGCATGCTAGGCAAATGCTCTACCACTGTGCTACAACCCCAGCCCCTCCAGTCTCTGTTTTATAGGCACAAACAAAAGGACTTAGATCCAGGAATGAGAAAGCAAAGTGATGATAAGGATGACTCTTGGGTTTTTGGCCAGAGGGAAAATGTTAAAATTTGTTTTGTACTTAGGGTCAGATGGCTTTTAGATTTCTAGGGGAATCAGTACAGAGTCCTGTATGTGACAAGTTGGGAGAAGGGACAGGAAATTAACATTTGGGGATTTAATCTATGAATGGAGTTTGAAATCATGTAACTGATGGTGCTTCTCCAATTTTTGTATGTCTGAGTTGCCTCAACATGTTAAAATATGGCTTCCTATTCAGTAGTCTGGTGTGAGGCCTGAGAGTCTGCATTTCTATCAAGCTCCTCCGCGACACTAATGCTGCTGTTAAGGAATCAGATTTTGTGTAGCCAAGTAGATGCAGATGAGGGAAGAGTCAGCCCTAAGGTGCTCCAGCATATGAATTAGGAAGGAACCTGTAAAGGAGCCTTCTGAGAGCTCCCAGTGAGAGAAACCAGAAAATGGTATATCAGAAACAGAGAAGAAAGTGTTTCAGGAAGGGAGTCAAGAACTTTTTCCAACAAGATAAGCACTGAGAATTAACCACTAAATTGTTGAGTTTAATAAGCTGAAAATTATGGGGATGAAGGCCTGCTTGGAGAAGGTTGTGAGCAGGAAAGGATAAAGTAGTGAGAGCAACTACTGTATAGACACCTAAGTTTTATAAAAGGTTGTAATGATATTTTTATTCACTTATTCAAATGGTTATTTAAGAAGTGCTTAGAATCTGGAGTGCTAAATTTTGTATCAGAAAATGGCATTGTACTCTTCTCATACCTTCTTTCTTGGTGAAGAGCTGAGGAGGAGAGGGATGTTGGAAGTCTAGCAATTGGAGGTATGTGTGAGGTACCACTTAGAAAAGTAGGAAAGTGGTCAAGGAACACCAGTGGGAACCATGGGTTAGCAGGAGGTGTTGGTCATAACTTCAAATGGGTTGATAACTCAATTATATTGCCAGCATGTAGGTGTGAGAAAAGAGAAACAAAATAACTTGAAATTTCAAAATCCCTACAGTAAGCCAGAAACATTGCATCTCCCTAGTCCTCTTTATATGCCCAGTAGGTGGCTTCTGAGGGCTCTGTCCTTATTACCCCTACATGGAACGGAGAGAGGAGTTGGCAGACACAAGCCAGACAGTTCTGCTCTTTCTGATCCATGCATTTAGACTTAGATGTAATTAAAGATGTATTTTAAGTAAGGTATGTTATTTCGGAATATCCTTCACTGTGATTGCTTAAACTCTGTATGTCAGAAAAACCATAGCTTTTTTATCTCCTGTTACAATGTGAGGGAAGTGCTCTGAACCAGCATTCCAGAGATCTTATCCACTAGCTTAGCATACTGTCTTCCTTGGCCTGCAGTTTTTTAAGCGGGAAAATGAGTGATTTAATATATGGTCATCCTAAAAATGGCTACTTATGCCTGCATATTAGTCTGAAGAAAGAGTTCTCCTGGTCACAAACTTACTACTTGAATAGTTTATAAAGCAATAGCTTCAATTTATGTATGTGGCAACCAGACTTCAAAGCAGAATTTTCTAAAGTTCAGGCACTATACAAAGATCTCAGGGAATATGGCCATTTCCCCATGCCATTTTAATCTTACATTTAGATACACTACTTTATGCTTTTTAAATTGACTCATTTTTTGATGTAATTTTATTTCAAAAGGGAGCATATCACTTTTAAGTGGAAAAGTAATATCACTTTCTGTAAATAGAAGATTTTCTTAAAATATAATGAAAACCATGCAGAGCTATTAAATTCTAGCTAGGTAGTATTGCCTGTGAAAACCAAGTCCAAACTCTGCCCTTTATTAGGCTTAATGAATAATATTAGGTGAGAGTAAAAGGCATAGACACTAATCAAAAAGATTTAAAGAGAATTTTCTTGAAAATTATCTTACCTACCATCCTACTCTAGAATAAACACTATAAGCAACAGAAGGTTAACCACTGAAATTTCTTGACTATCTATATAAAGCAAAAATATTAATATTTATTTAAAGGCATATTTAACTACATGCAGATGGATGTTGCCTCTTGAGGTTTTTAAGTAAGGTATGTTGTTTTGGAATTTCCATAAGTTACTGACCAGCATTATCAATTACAGTAGTTGACATTATTCTGACCTTACAGGAATTATCTGTTTTTTGATCTGAGAATGAAAAAAATAGTTCTTCCAATGCCTCTGTTTCAGAGTTCAAAGAGATTTCCTGGGCAGTCATGTCATACCATCACTTTTGGGCCCAGCATTCCAGACCTGAAAAAAATCCCGAGAGTTATCCAGATAACTTCCTCAGTTACCCACTTACTAGTCGATTCTTGATTTGGCAGTCTTAATCATAAAAGCAAAGTTTCCAGTTTCCATATAAATTAATTGAAAATGTCCATATTTGCCATAAACACTGAAGGAATGAGATCTTAAGTATAGCATATATTTTGGATTGTGCATTTATAAGCACTAAAGTGTCTCAGAATTGAAGCGTGTTGGATAAAAGTTGTCCTGACTTAAATAGGTTCTTAAATCCTTTTTGGCATATAGGAGGGCATAAACAAATATTTGATGTCTTCATGCTTGTGACTCAGCACTATGTTATTCTTCAGTAATATCTTTAAATCTTCCTCTAGTCAGGACCATTTGCCTCTGTTTGCTGCAGGCAAAATAAATTTGGCTGCTTTTAATATTTTTCATTCTAAAACTGCCTAATAGTTTGCATCCCTCTTCTAGTTTACTGTGTATTAGGAAAACATTGGTTCAAACTTGTAAGTAGCTTAAGAATAAATAGATTATAAGAGAGAGGATCTGGTGCTTGAGTTTTGATGTATGACTTGGGCTTTTCAAAATGTGGGTATTTGTCTATCCTGTTCTTGACTGTGTTCAGAGAGCAGTATTTAGCTTTATGCTTATTTTGAATAGCAAGATCTAATTACTTTGACCAGAGACTTTCTTTATATAGTACACTGATCTTAGAAACTTCCCACAAAAAAAACCCAAGTGCTAGAACTATTGGCTGGTTTTCTCTCCAGGTGTTCAGGTTTTAGATTAGCAATGTGGACTCATACTCTCAATGAAAAGTAATGATTTTGGTTCCAAAAGAACTTGCTTTACCAAAAATGTACTACAGTACATAGCAT